AGAGAGAGAGAGAGAGAGAGAGAGAGAGAGAGAGAGAGAGAGATAGGTCGCATATCGTCCAACAAGAAAAAGAGAAATTTCGACTAAAGAAAACAGCGATGAAAAATGAACGCTCTTTCACACTTTATAGTGGTTTTTAGGTTCTGAAGAAGATTAGTTCTGAGAACCCACATCATGTTCGGCCTTTTTCACAGACTCTCGTGCCTGGAGGATTGGTCAACCATTAACAATTTTGTTCCATATATCATACAACTTGCAAGTAGTTTTATGCTGTTGGCGATGATTCTTGTCTCTTTGATAACTCTAGTTGCAATTCTGATTATACAAAGATTCATGCACATACATACATACAAATACATATCATACATTATGTAAGCACGTTCAGACTTCTGAGGAAATGACATCGCCAAATCCATAAAGCGCCAACGAGCAAAGAAAGGTGTCTTTATTGATATTTTCACTCACATGTATTCATCACCGAGATTCAATTCATCCACATTCATTTTCACGTATTCACATCCCATTTACATGATTTGTGTGTTTTCAAACAGACGATGCCGTTTTTAATCGCCGCCTTGCCCAGCTCTTTGGGCCTGAGCTTAGGCGCCTCGCTCAATAGTACACATTTCTGTATGGTCTGAATCTGAGAGCTGTCATTGGTTGACGATTCAAGATTTCCTCCTGAAGAATAAATGTTATACACAACCAATCGTTTATTTCCTTTTAGAGGAAAGTCCATTTATTTAACATCTTCACCGTAGCTTTCACTTGTCGCGATGTGCTTAAAAAAATGTCCTTAATGATAACTATTTTGTTTTGTTTGTTTTTGTTTTTGTTTTTTGTTTGTTTTTGTTTCTCATTTCGATGAGCCTTGGACTAGATGCCCCCCCCCCCCCAAAAAACACCAGGTTTCAGCGTCTCTAAGACAGTGCTTGCCATCGCAGGCAATACTGCCCACGCGTGGGTGTTTTGATTACTTTGATTGGCTTATCAGCAATTTTAAGTAATTGGCCTTACATCTTGCGGCCTGCGAAGCTCTTGTCCTAGATTTTTAACGGTCTTTGGTGGGATCGTGAAGAAAATTACTTCAGTGATCCGAATATACATTACAACTCTCTATTATATCGTCAAAGATAGGCTTCAGATAACTCGTACAACGCGCGAAGAGACATCTCTCCGCTGTTCGGGGACTGTCTTTGTCATTGCTCTATAGAGAAGAAAAGTTCACATCATCGTTAACCTGACAGCGTATTATGCAGTGTCAAGAAAAAATCAGCTAATTAACCACGGTGCTCAAGTAAAATCTAAAGGTCAGCCTGCAGAATGAGCACGGCAAACTGCCGAGATGGAAGAGCCCTGAAGTTTGAAGTGCATCTCTGATGACGACAAAGTGGCTAAAAAGTCGTCCTAAAAGGATGATAATGTTTCAATAAGAAACTGATCGTTTGAGCACTTAAGGCGAAATCAGGAGGGAATTGCAAGTTTCTTCTCGATGATGACTGCACAGGGGAATACAAAAGTGGAGCAAGCAGGATGTGTGCAGGTTAAAAGAGAGAGGGGGGGGGGGGACTGGATAGAGAGAGGGTTAGAGCGAGAGGAAGAGAGAGGGGAGATAAATATATAAAGACAGATAGAGGCAGGGTTAAAGAGAGTGAGGTGGGGGGGAGAGGGGGAGAGAAAGTGATGGATAGATAGATAGAAAAACTCAGAGGCGGAAAAACAAAGAGAAAGAGCAATTGGAAGAACCGACGAGTAGAGAAAAATAAAAACCTGGATTTACAGAGGAGTTATGAAGAAGAAAAATTACTTCGGTTTGTCGATGGTAGACTTTTATTCTGAGTGTCTGATTCTTTCTTTTGAAAAACAAATTATTTCATCTTGAAAGAGTGAAAAATTCAAATTCTAAGACTTTTTAAAGATAAGCCCCCTTTGAGTCTGGATCTGGAAACTGCACCCCTCCCCGCACCTTTTAAACATTCGGCTCTTTGCCCCAAAATTAAGATAAAAGTAGTGTTTGAAAAAATAGGTAATAACTCTTTTGACAGTCGGGAATCAATGTGGGGAGAAAAGAACGTTAGAATACAGTTGTTATTGTCAATGCATTGAGTGAGCACATGAACGTATACATCTAATACGGGGTGCCCACTACGACTGGATCGGGCTGATCGCCCGATTCGAGCACCTAAAACTGAAAACAAACACGTTTGTTTTTGAGGCGATCGAGTCGGGCGATCGACCCGATTGGCCGATCCCATCGGTAGTGGGCACCCCGTATAAGGCGTCACATCAGACATAATATGTCGAACCTTAAAAACAAATTGCCAAAGTTGAAAGTGTGTGACATCATACCCTGCTTTCATGCAAAAGAAAGTTTCAGCAAAGTTGTTGCTGGTCATATTATTATTTCGTTGTCTTTGTAAATATGATCCTAATAGTATTAAAATGTGTGCATATCAGTTCTTTACTGAAGTAACGTATCACCATCATCTTCATCGTCATCATCATCATCATCATCATCATCATCATCACCATCGGTGAAATCAAACAGAGCATTAGTTTCAGTCTTTAGAAAAATCTACCTAAAACGCCATTGCCCTTATACAATTCTTATATTTTTATTGCGTTCAATCTGAGATTATTACACGTTTCAAAGTGCGAGACGCTAGACTCTGAAGGCGCCAAATTTTCAAAAGTCGTTTCAAGCCTGAAATTGATTCTAGAGTGCTTACATAGATAGCATCAGGATATGAATTCTGAAGCAAAATGCAGTTATAAACCAGGACTGAGCTCTAAATAAGAAGAGAGCAGAGAGAGAGAATGAATTGTGTGTATATGAGTGTGTGTGTGTGTGTGTGTATGTGTGTGTGTGTGTGTGTG